TCACGCGACGAGGGTGATAACTTCGAGTTGGATGCGGGCGGGGCCGGGGAGTTCTTCGGCTTCCAGTCAGGCAGGCAGTCAAAGGATTGTGCATGGAAGCCGGATGGTGGTCCAGTCTAGGCCAGGAGAGGCCAGGCCATGGCATTCATTACAGTAATCGGGTGTCAGTCATCAGTGCAGGATATCGTTATCGGGAGCTCAATGAATGTCGTCGCATTGAATGGTTGTGCGAATGGATGAATGAAGGAGTTCGTTCATCTGGATATGATGCACAAATGAACCCAGATCGATTCACAGCCCTCGAGGAATCGCAGGGGCGAATGAACTCGCAGATGAACCGTCCCCGGCGGCCGAGCCATTGGACGATCGTCTCCATGCCCAGGCCCCGGGACGGAGACGGGGACAGGAACAGGAACGGAGACCCCATCACGGCGTCTTGTGCCATGGCTGGCTGGCTGGCTGGCGAGCTCTGCAGCATTGGGGATTTCCTTTATCGCTTCTGCGTTATGAGGCGAGGTGCTTTGCGAAAGGTGGGGGATTTGGCGAATATCGGGGCCGTGGCTGAACGAGGTCCGGACTCTCTGTCAGTGCCAAAAGTTCTGGTCGACGTTCTTCGCACTCTGCGACGCCTCATCGACTTCCGCTTTCGCGAGTCCGTCGTCCCAACTGAGCTGACGGCAAGCGAGACGATCCGCATTTCGCAATCGCCCGATCAATCAATCGATTGATCGACCAACGAGGCGTTCATCTAAACTCGGCAATCAATGCCCAAGCGTCTGCTAGCTCTCTTCTACTCCCCGCGAGATTGGATATTATACATAAGGAACGATCTCGTGGAAACTCGCGCACGAAGCAGCGATGAATGACAGCTCCGATCCGCGCGACGGACTCGAACTCGTGCAGAACCTGGACGCGCGTTTGTTCTTTCTCTTAGCAGGACCCAGATGTCCCTAAACCCCTCATCATCATCATCGAGGCGAGGCCGCTGGCATTCGGACGGAATGCGAGTGAGAAGCAGGATAATTAATGCGGACAAGCAGCCATAGCAGCAAATGACAAAGCTCCCCGTACAACATGACGAGCACTGCTCTGGTTCCATAGCTGGGCTCGCAAGCTAATGCTCGAATGCTTCGTGACCAGAGCTCGAGCTCGCCTCTCGGACCGGAGGCGATGCCTCGTGTCCAGAGCCGAGGACGCGAGCTGAGAGAGTCAATCATTTTCCCCCATCGCACCGAATAAGTGCTCTGATTTCAACACCTGGTCCCACCCTCGAGCTCGTCCTCTCGATTTCCATCTCTCGAGTGTTCTTTGGCCGTGGCGACATCGACCACGACAAGAAAAGGAGAAGGGAGAAGAAAGAAGCGCAAGTCAAATCAGAACAGCCAAAAGGGATCTCGACGAGCTGCTCTCCCCTGAGCTGCCTAGCCTTGCCTTGCCTTGCCTTGCCTTGCCCAGAATAGCCTACTCGAGCCCCCATAGCATCTCCTCCATAGCCCAGGCAGGCACCAGTTGAAACTTGGCTGCAGCACGAGCGCAGCAGCGGCGACGACGACGACGAGCATATGGAAGAAACAGCAAGCGAGCGATCGAGCCCTCGATTCATCACTATCCATTTCGCCCTCTCTCCTTCTTCGATGCCTTGCCGGTATCTGCGCGGCATTCCGCCCATCATCCCACTCACTGTCTGAGCAAGAGGCAAGAGGCAAGAAAGCCGCGAGTTTGGGCGTGTTCAGCGCGAGACATCACATGAGTTTGTCGGTGCCTGCACGCCGGAGCTCGAGCTCTGATTCGGCCACAACACAAGGAATATCGGGCCCCGAGAGAGGCCAGGAACATCTTGTCCCACCATCTCTCGCGTCCTCCTGCCCTCCATAGCCAGAGGCTCCATGGGTCAGTTTCGACGAAAGTTTCCCCACCCCACCTGCTGCTGCTGCTGCTGCGGCTTTGGATCCAGAGCGGTGGTCTCAAGCAGTGAATGCATCGTTGACATTGGGCTTTTGTTCTCAGGCCTCATACAAAACCCTCTCACTGATTGTCTGACTTGCATACACCCACCCACGCACACATGCCACAAAGCAGCCCCGATTGAGCTTACCGATTGAGCTTTTGCCTGCCTTGAGAACCGTGCTTGTCGAATTGGTCTCGCTCAGTGATCCAAATCTCCATGACACGCGGCTATGGTCTCCAAGCAAACAGCGTGAACTGCCAGCTGAACAGCAGCAGCATCAGGTCTTCGGTTAAAGGTCCCGTGTCGAGGCCGCAAAGCAAAGCATAGATCAAAGCATCGTAAATGCGAAAAAGTTTGCCATGGCTGGTTGACGACGAACGAGGCGAATCAGATTCAGAATTATCTCTGCATGAGGCAGATTCATGCGCTGCACCTCATCATCATCATCATCCTCATCCTCATCCTCCTGACCTCGTCCCGATGAGACGAATGTTCGGACTCGACCACATGTTGCCTCCTCCTCCGCTCGGCCTCGTTCTCCAGAGATGCAGCTGCGCAATTCCCTCCCGAGGACGTGGAATGGATCTTCCGGCCCAAGATGTCTGAATTCCACCCCGATCGAATGGCTCGCACCTTTTTTCTCAGAGACATGTGCCTGCCCGCCTCACTTTCCACCGTGAGCACGGGTCTAGACGTAGCGTCCCATGGAATTGCAGCAGTGCCATGTTCGCAGGAATTTCGATGTGCCGAGGTTGCTTGAGCTTCGAAACTTGCGGAATTTCACGCATTCTCTCACTCAATCGACATGTGATAGTTAGATTTGACGCTAGCTCTAGCTTGTAGGCTGCTGGATTTCAGGGGAAGGGGAGGGGGAGGGGGAGGAGGAATATTAGCGGCCTATTATTAAATTCATCGTCGTGTTCAGTTTGTCCTCGGCCTCAGTTGCCAAGCCATGGGAGGCGCCAAAGTGCGCTCTCTTTTCTCCGTGCCTCTGGGGTTCCAATTAATGGCGCCGAGACAGAAAGTTCCAGGATCCGTTCGGCGCCATGTGGCTCGCCATTCAATCCGGCTTTGACGAGAGAAAATAACCGCCCTATCCATCGCTCCTGCGCAAAGCCATGGGCCGTCGTCGCAAGTTAATGCTCGCTGCACTCACAGACCTTTCTTTCAGCAGCCCTCGTTGACATCGATCACCAAATCATCCCGTCCCGAACCGAACCGAACCGAACCGCAGGCACCGAGCCGAGCGGAGCCGAACCGTAGGTGATCACCGAGGTCCCGCGAACGCTGCAACCAACCACGTCAGGTGGGCGAAACGACCAGCCAGCTAGCCCGCCGTACCGCGTGAATGAGTTCCTGACGTCGCAGCGACCGCACAGTCTACCTCGCAGTCGACTTCACAGTCCTCCTCCCTGACGGAGCGAGCAAGGGACTATGGTTTCCAGGCTGACGGATCTGATCAAAAATCCGGTGACCGTCTTCTCTCGAACAGAAACGCTTAGCGGCGTACCAGTCCACCCCCCACCCTGCCCGACGCGTCGTTCGGACCGTTGAGCTCCCCGGGGTACATATATCAAGCACATCAACTCACCGTGAGGTGGATAAGCGGCCGGTAGCCGCGTTCGACAGGGGCTTGCTCCACGGCCATGGGCCATGCGTTCACGAGGAGAGGAGACGGGAGGGGAGAAACTCGCTCCGTCCGTCCGTCTGTCCGTCCGTCCGTCCACGCAGACGGAAGTTCGACGGAAGCTCGTCGGCCCCGTTCGACGCGCGATCAGATGCAAATTCGGTAGCGGCTGCTGCTGCTACTGCGCTAAAATTACTAATCAATTAGAAATCGAACATTAATCAAAAATTTCAGAGTTGCGGAATCGACCTCGAATCGATCCGAGCTCTGCAGGGCGACGAAACTCGCGGGCGGCGGGCGTCGTATTCGGATCAGCCCCTGCGCTGCTCATGCGAGTCAACAGACTCGTCTCTTTCTCTCTCTATTTCTCTCGCTCTCTCGCGCGCGCTCTGACTTTGCGCTGCAGGTTCTTCTTCTTGTCAGAGAGGGGGGCCCGTCAGCTCCCGCTCGCCCAAGTCAACCAACGGTAGCAACGGCAGCGACCACTCAGGTACGGTTTCGGATTGTGCACATCGCGGCCAAATCAACGCATCGCCTCCTGGGCCCCCTCTCTCAATCTCGTTCCTTCTTTGCCATGTACGTACTGGGGACGCGTGCTTCGTCGTCATCGACTCTGAGACATGGCGATCCTTGGGCTTCCGTTTCGATGAACAAACGAGAATGAAAATCGGTGGACCTGCTGCGCTGTGCGGATAAATTTACAGTGAGACGTGAGGTGAACCTGACGGTTGTGTCGATCAGGTGATTGATTGCTGCCCCCACGGATCAGGAATTCCGTGTCGAATGGACCTGGAGAGTCGGAGGCCTGGATGAGCGGTCGGCCTTTTCATCCTCATCTAAATCTATACACACTGGGAGATGAGCTGGTCGTCGAACACACGTAACACGCAGCTGACGAGATGGAATTCGCGTTCGTTTTAGGGAATATGATTTTTCCTCAGCTATTCGATTCGATCGCATGGCGTTCGTAACAAGCACTCGAGACCTTTAAAATCACTGATATGTAATTTAGAAGCCTCCGACTGATCGATCGGTGTCAGATCTGCCTCTTTTCGGTAAATTGCTCGAGCCGTCGCACGTGATGTATGCTCTCTCGACGTTTAAAGGCCGCGAGGCGGGACGGATCAATCTTCTCTGGATCTTTTATTTTCCCCGTGTGAATTCAACAAGCGCATGCATGCATTGTGGACTCGACCGACATATACGCTGAATCAACAAGATTTTGGCGACCGAAAAAAATTCTCGACGCTTTAGAGTGTTCGTCATTTATTCCTGCGACTGTCGAAATTGCTTCTGAGAGTGAACTGACCGACCCACTCACGAGGATTTCGAATCGCAGTCCAGAGGAAGAGAAGGCCGAGAGCCGACACTGGGAGAATTGCGTGAAGAGACGAGAGACGAGAACCAGAAAGAAGTCGAGAGAAGTGAATTTGACGGCGCGGGATCCGCGCTCCGAATGTTTATTATTAATCGCAAGAAAGATGATATTTTCATCACAGTCATAAGCACATGAGATATGCAACCAATTGACTTCGGTGGGGCGATGTCGCTCGTCGATGCACGCACGCACGTCCCGACTGGGAAGAAGAAGAAGCTCAGTCAGGAGAGTGCCCGCACGCAGTGACTCGTCTGACACTCTGCAGCGGGCGGCAGTGATTGCCCAAACTTGTACCTCGGCTGCCGCGGTGGAGAAGCTCGGGGCGGGCGGCTGCTTCGTTGCAAGCGGCACCTCAGCTCCAGGCTCTCGAATGAATTCCCCAATCCAATGCACACTCTCGGTCGACCCCGTGAACAAGCGATCTCTCTGGACACCGCTCCCCAAGATCTCAATCACTGGGTCGACCAAGCTCCAAGACCTCCGAACTATTTACTCCAAAATCTTCCTCCTCCTCTTCCTCCATCGCCATAGGAGCGCGATGAGGAGCTCCACGGGCGATTCGCCATCGCTCGGGGCTAGAAGTTGTAATCGCTCTCGTAAGTCTGTCCGAAGCCCCAATTCTTGTCGACCACGTTCCAGAATTCCAAGCTGCGGCCGCTGCCGAGGGTGACCTTGAACGAGAGCGCCTGGCCCAAGTACCATCCGCCGCAAGACCAGTACTGCCCCCAGTTCTGATTCATGCGGTTCCATCGGGAATTCTCTCCGCGGAGCGCCACGGCCGCAACATCGCCCGAGCCGCCCACATTGTGCACGAGGATGTAGTTGAAGTAAGGGTTGCCGTGCAGCGTGAAGCGCACTCCTCCTTGCTTCGAGCACGAGACTCTGCGCACCAGCAAAGATCAGAACAAGAAAATGCGAGACGAGGAGGAGGAGGAGGAGGAGGAGGAGAAGAAGAAGAAGAAGAAGAAGAAGAGGGGAAGAGACGCACCTTCTGTATCGGACGGGGATGACTCCTGCCACGGGCTGGGCGAGCATCTGGAACATGGGGAACGAGAGGTCGAAGTGGGGTCGGGGAGGGTCGCACCAGCCGCCCTCGGAGCCTGGGGGGCAAGCGTTGGTGGCCGTGACGACGATGCTTTTGCCGGGGTAGCACCATTTGCTGCCCTGCAGAATGCACTCGATCAGGAAGCAGGCGCCGCACGAGAGCCCATTGTGGAAGAGCGCGTTGCTCAGGGCGGTTGTGGCGGTTCCGTAGCCCAGCGAGTACAAGTTGCCATATCCGCAAGCGCCACCTGCGAACACAGCAGCCCACGCACCACCGGGTTCAGAGACAGATCGCGCTTCGAGCCTCCGCCGCCACCACCACCACCGCGGGAATCGAGCCAATTCCGACCAAGATTTCACGCAAATTCTACGGCGGCGGCGGACGACAACGAGCGAGCGAGCTAGACGCGAAATTCCCGCCCCCCTGCGCTAAGTAAGCCCTGCTTCCTCGGCTCGAACCTCGCCATCCCCATCCCCATCCCCATTCACATCACACATTCCTGCTGAAATCTGCTCGAAATCTGCGTACCCATTGTGCCGCCCGCATCTTGGCCTCCGTAGAAGGTCGCATGGGCTTCAGCCCAGTCCGTCACTTCCCAAGCCTCGGTCGCGCTCGCCGTCCCCGCTCGCATGCCCAATACCAGAACAGCCCCCAGCACGAAGAGCTGCAAGGCTGCGTTCGCCAAACTCGCCATTTCGATCGCTGGCTGCAGAAGAAGTGAATCCACACAGACACAGAGTTAAACCTCGAGTAACACTCCCTCCTTCCTCGCACTTTTGAAAGCAATTGCCACGTTCAAGACTCGCCCACTGACAGTTCGAGGGGAGAGGAAGAGGAAGAGGAAGAGGCTCAGAGGAAAAGTCTTAAGTCAAGGAATACCTTCAAGCCAAAGAAGTACAATACTCTCCACGCCAAGGCAAAGATGTATAGAGGAGTTAAACCCCCCAGGAGAGAGGGAAGGCCCTGAGAGTGGAGCTATGAGAGCTCTCTCTCTCTCTCTCTCTCTCTCTCTCTGACTCACTGCTGATCGACAGACAGACTGAGGGGGAACAGCATGGTATTGAGTGGGGCAATGGAGGGGGTATTTACAGGACTTGAGTCTGCGGATACCGCACGGGATGAGGGGGATGAGGAGGGGGAGAGGGATTCGAGTCTTGAACTGTCTTGACTTGCGCTAGCACTAGCCGCCGTTCTCACATACGGTTTGTACCGTGATCCGGACTCTCCAGGCTCAGGGAGAAAAGAGAAAAGACGAAGGACGTACATGTAACTACTACTACTACTACTACTACGAGGACTCGAGGCCCGTACGTGGGCCTCCTCGGTCCTGGAGAAGTGTCACCGTAACAGCAGCAGCACCCCTGCGTGGGTCAAAGACAAGGACGATCTGAAGTGTTGTATGGCAACGATCGAAGGCAAGATGGAGCCGGGCCGACATCATTTGGAAGAAACTCGCTTCGCTCTGAGTCGTCCCCGTCCCTGCGCAGTCAATGTACACGAGACCGATCGGGCGCTACCCTTCCCTCGGCCCTCCCTGGGCCCCGTTCCTTCAGCCGCCCAGTGACGACGGCGCCGACTCTGCCGAGTTCTGTCGGTCCAGGACTTCGGGCATGGAACGTCATGAGCGAGGGACGGTCGGTCAGTCAGGAACTGATGCCCAGTTTTAAGTATTGAAAATTTGATATTTCATTATTGCCATTTTGAAAGCAAAGAAACATACGTCAAGTTCGATCAGAAGTTAAAGAACATTATTCTCAATGAGATAAGTTTTCCATCTACTGCTCTATATTCATATTATGTTACATCGAGCATCGAAGTTTTACACCCCAAACACAAATAATCTTAGAAATCTTTTCTTATGTAAAAATGGCTTCATAAAATATTGCTAAAAAATACAGCAGAATATACAGATGACAATGAAATTGATTTCATTTTCATCTTTACTAATTTCTGTTTCATCTCATCAATAACATTAAAATCTCAATTTCAAACTTTTTTATGTGTGTTATTTTAGCTTTATAACTTTCATTGCTTCTTGAATCTAATTCAATATCACTGCAAACAATCAATCTACTGCATTTGCCTTAAATAACCTTTATTTTCAACATAATAATAATAATTTAAGATCAGATCTATATCTAGTATCATTTAAAAAACTAATCTTCATCATATTTTGTACTTTGATGCAACATAATAAACTAATAATCAATTTCTAGCATTATTACAATATACTTGAATCATTCTTCTTGTAATGAGTATCACAAAAGTTTCAAAAATCTTCTTAGACTAATAATTGTCTTAATTATCTAAATAAATTTCTAAATTCAGCCACATATGACAACATCAATTATCAGATTATTTTAAAAAACCAATAGATAATTCTGAATAAGTCAAAAGTTTATAAAAAATGTATAATAATCTTAAATATTGTATAAAAAATAAAATTATTTCAACGTAAATATTTTTTCCTAAAATTATTATTATAAAGTATATAATGATAAATTTTGATTTTTAGCTTTTCAAAATGTAATATTCACTTAGGTGTTCTTATAACTATATTTCATCATAGACAAGATTCAAATTTCATGTTTCTACTATAAATAATAAATCAACTTATATGAATATATTTAAATAATTTATACTATAACATACGGTTTTTTTCCTTATTCTTTAAATTTATTAGTGATTGAAATTTCAAATTGTACACCATCAATTTATGTTCAAGCTGAAAATTCAAGTCAAAATTTATTTTACAATCAAAAAGATTATTTTGTCATCATCATATTTTCTATTAAAAGTACAAAAATTCTTTATTATATAGATATATGACTACAATTTTTCTCTTTATTGTTTCATTATTATAATCATTAAATAGTTGTAAACATTATTCTTCTCTAGCTATTTAAGTTAACATTACATTGTTTGAATCTCGAAATGGACTACTAAACACATTTACTTGACTTTAGAGTCTATAATAATAAATATGTAAACTTTTTTATCTGATTTCATACAAGAAATTATTAATTTTTTAAAAAATATCCATGAACAATACACTTCTCAATCTGAAGAACTTTGTGATTCATAAGTATAAATTTTAGTTTACTAATGCATCTATTGATATCAAATAGCATTTTTGTCAAAATGAATATGTCATCAGTATTAAATTATAAATCAGAATCTTTTGTTATTTATTTTTTTAATGTATAGACAAAAAGAAAACATATCTATATGATTAAATTTGCATCACAACATTTGAAAATCTTGTATATAATTATTCAAAAATTATTTCATTCATATAAAGATTATTTAAAATAAATTTTTTAATTATTTTTTATTTTTTAACTCAAAATTTTTTTAAGAAAAATTGTAACAAATTTTCTATGAATTTATTCGTTTTCTTTAAAATTCAAGAAAATAAAATAAAATTTGAAAAATATTAATAAAACGATGTCATATTTAAAGAAGAAATGCAGAAGTTAATCTTGTTTTTATTACTAAAGTTTATCTTAATTATCCCTTTCTTTTTAGATTTATGATAAATGTATTCACCAAATTTGAATAGATTAATAGCAATTTTTTTTTTGATGAAATTTATTTTTTTTAGGTACAAATTCTTTGTATTTTTTGATCAGATTATATTTTTCTCTGATAAGAAAAGTAAGATTTGTAACTATTATTCAAAAAAATTCTTCATTTAACCAATAATATATTTTCACAAGTTTTATTATCAAATATTTTTGAAAAATATAGATGATGAGATCAACAGATGTATAATCCCAAATTTAATTATAAAATTTTTGGTTCAAATTTTTTTTAGTCATACCCTATGCAAATTTATGTATATATAATTTCAATTATGGCGAAAATAGCTTAATGGTAGAGTATAGCCTTGCCAAGGCTAAGGGTGAGGGTTCAAGTCCCTTTTTCCGCTCGTACAATTCATGTGAGTTGCTAGATATTTAACTTTATAATCATGAGTGAAAACTTTGCTCAATATTAGAGCTTTATACGTTATATAAAGCAAAAAAAGTGCTATGTTTCAAACATTTTGTATTAAAAAGAATACCAGTAAAAATTTAAGAAAAAATAAAGAAAAATTGTTTAAAATCAACTAATAATTCAATCACATTGTCTAGAAAAATGAAAAACTATGTCAAATATAACACAATGGATCATGAGAATGACAGGACTGTCAAATTTTTTTATGCTATTAGAGTTTTGAACAAATAAAATATTAATCACTCAACATTAACTTGACCAAAATTATAAAACATCTAAACTCATATGTACAAAATCAACACATTTTTAGCATGATATATGTGCATGTACTATTATTTGGTGATTTTTGTTAATGAATTGATGTTGTCAGTACTGATGTCATTATTCCTATAGACGTTAATTGTGTTGTTGTTTTCATTACATTTTATATTGTTCTTATTGTGAAATTGATCATATGTCATTTTTCTTTTCATATTTCTGATAATACATCGTTGATACCATAGGTGTTCAAAACATTCATAATGCTCAAAACTTATGTGAACCTGAATAATTTTTTTTCATACATATTAATAAATATTTTTTAAACGAAACCGCATATATGATCTCCATACAGAATTACATGATTTGGTTACAGCTTTGTGAAAAAATTAAGAAGATTTTTTTTCCAAAAAATATTATTGTGTCTTATAGATTTTAAACTATATGTATTATATGATAATAGATGATCTCCCTCCCCAATAGCTCACAAACGTGTCTTTTGCAGGGGGGGATTAGATAACCTATGGTTACTTGCTCACAAACATGTCTTCTGCAAGGGGGAATTAGATAACTATGGTTAACTAATCTCCCTCCCCAATTGCTAAGAAGGGTTGGCAAAGGCAATCCCGAGAGTGAGAGAAGAGGTTTGGAAGGGGAGAGCGCGAGGCCAGAGAGAGAGAGAGTAGGGAGCGGGAGAAAAGGGTCGTGGACGGACAGTTGAATGATGATGGTGATGGTCTGTTTATTACCCGATGCCTTCATAATCCACGGAAGTACGGCAACGCGGCATTACTCATTGGGTCCATCAATGCCTGCCGAGAATTATGTGTAATCCGCTGCGTGCCATACTTTCGCTTCCTCGAAGACGAGTATTTACGCACACGTTCATTCTGCTGCCTTCGACATGTCTTATCATTCTCCTGAACATGTCACATGAGCCTGCAATGAATGAATGCCGCTAATCGCCCTCGTCGTGGAACGAGAACGACGAACAATGACTGGAGTACAATTCGTCGCACGAAACGACCGGACGCTAATCCATAGACATCGTTGACGGGCCACGATCACGACAACGCAGTCGCTCTTAATCAGTCAAGACGAGCCTGCCGCTTACCGAACGACGACGAGGAGGTCGAGGACAACGAGAAGAGCTCGGGACCAAGAAACTGTCCGAGTTTCAACGGGCCTCGTTGACACAGACACCACGTCTGCATGGGGTCCGCTGATTGCGGTCCAACCGATCGTTCGATCGCAACCGTCCATTTACCACCGGCGCTGTACTACAGTATTTTCTGAAGCTACGTTTCATACGACGAGATGCAGAAAACCGCGAAGGCCAACGACGTTGAGGATGACGAAGCAATGCAGGATGACATGGACGAGAGAGGGTCTGACACGTGTGATCTCAAAACCAAGCTGCGGCACCGCTGTGCGGAGTGCCGCCATTTTTATTCTTTGTGATGTCTCTCACGGAGTATGCTCGTACTCGCAAAGGACGAATTATACAGCAGCAGCGTACAAATTATAGCATAGACATGGTCACCTCCTCGTCCAAAAGCGTAAAATGCTCTTTTGGAATGATGTATCTCCCTATTACTACTGCTGCTACGACGACTGGGGACATATATCCATGAGCTCAGCATCACTTATTACAGGACATCTACTGCCTTCTCCTGAACTACGGATTACTCGGATTGCATTGGAGCGGGTGGCTGTTGACTCTTCACTACATCACCTCGGCTTGCCAACTACGCGACCAGAGCTGTATCCTCGAATTGCAAGGAAACCTGTGGAAATAAAACTAGAAGCCAAATGGAAAAAAAGTGGAGAATATTCTGTCTCCCTCGGGAGATGCGTGCTCTTCGGAAGGCACGGGCGTTGATCATGGTAGGATCATTATTGTGTAACGTGATGAATTCTCTATGCTCGAGTAATACGAGGATCGATGAAGGTTCGGGCGGGTGGCTGTCGATGCTTAGGTACAACACCTCGGCGAGAACCTTCTGATGTGGATCGATCCCGGTTTCTCGAGTGAAGACTTGTATCAATCGGAGCGGGTGACTGTCGAGTGACTGTATTTTACTACAACACCTCAGCTTCGATCGTCTGAGTGATCTAACCATGGAGCGGGTGGGTGGCGGCTCGTAGCTCCTCTCACACCGCAGCTGCCATTTTTCTAATTTATCCTACTCTGATGAATTCCGGTGGAGCGGGCGACTCTTGATCGCCTCGGCATCCACGTTTCAATTCGACGCTATTGTTTGCTCGCTGGCCGCAGGGGGCGCTCACTGTGTGATATTATACACGCCTCCTCTGCTCGACGAGCTCTCGCTGAGCTGCCGGCCTCGCTCAGGTCCGCACTCCTGGCTGGCTGGCATTCTTTCCTGCCGCGGTCTAAATCACCGTCGGGTCCCTAGCCCTGGCATGGGGAAGGGTCAGAGAAAATTGGTGTTGGCCTCGAAGGTTTGACCGAAGCCCCAGTTGCTCGGTGCTACGTCGTAGAATTCCTGAGATCGTCCATCGCCGAGAGTGGCTCTGAAACTCAGAGTCTGCCCGCACAATTCCGGATGGCCGCTGGCTTGCCAATTCTGACCCCAGTTCTGACTCATCGGGCACCAGTCGGTGCTGGCCCCTTTCATTTCGAGCTTGGCGATGTCTCCGCCGCCTCCGACGTTCGTCACCAGCACCAGATCGAACCACGCGTTTCCGTTGATGGTGAACCGGATGCCGCCGTTCTTCTGGCACGACACCCTGCAATCAATCGAGTGACCATAAAAACTCCATCAATTCCTCTTGATTCCCTCCCAATTCTCGACAGGCAATCCACATAAAGGAGTTTCAGATTCAGATTAACGATAAAAACTGCAATGGAGACGATGGAGATGGAGAGAGCAATGGGGACGGACCTCTTGTACTGCACGGGGATGACTCCACCGACGGGCTCGGCCAATTGCTGGAACATCGGGTACGAAAGATCGAAGTGGGCCTTCGGGGGATCGCACCATCCGCCCTCGGAGCCCGGGGGGCAGGCGTTGGTGGCTGTGACGGTGATGCTCTTGCCTCCCGTGTAGCAGTACTTGCTCCCGTCTAATTTGCACATGATCTGGAAGCACGCCCCGCAGCTCAGCCCGTTGTTGAAAAGCGCATTGCTCAGAGCTGTGGAAGCTGTTCCGTAAGCGGTGGAGTAGAGGTTACCGTATCCGCAAGCTCCTCCTGCACCAGGCCGAGCGCGAATCGAAGGTCCCACCACATAAGACTAGGAATCGAGTTAGAGCGCGGTGCTGCTCGCGAGGGCATCCATCTCACGAGCTGTCTCGGAGAATCCGTCGAGTATGTATCGAAATGTGGCCAAAATCCATGCAAATGAGCAGAAACTGAATCATTCACTCACCCATTGTGCCGGATGCATCTTGCCCGCCATAGAATGTCGCGTGGGCATCGGCCCAGTCGGTGACGGCCCAGGCGCTCGCAGCGCTAACTAAAGCTGTTGAGGTGCCGAAGATGAGGAAAGAGAGCACGAGCGATCGAACCAGATGATGAAGCGCTTGCGCCGGAATTGCCACGTTAACTGACCCCATCCTTCTGCGCAGGACACGACACATTCACTCAATCATTGATTGACGTGCACATTGGTGCCAACCAAGATCAGACTCACATTGCAGAACGAAATTCACCCTCGAACCAACTCTCCGATGTATGCGACCGTCGGAAAACCCGATCTCAGATCGATCGATCCGAAAAACCGGTCGACATTCAAATCCATGAAATCATGACTCTGTCACGGAACGAAGCACTTTTCAGTGGACATCGTCCGTCAGCCTCTTTCTGAACACTGAACGCCAATGTTGCATCCACTTTGAACATGTTTATGGAGCCCATTTATTGCCCTTCCTTCCTTCATGGACCTCACCGTGTGGAAGGGGCGAAGGAAGGAAGGAAGGAAGGAAGGAAGGAAGGCTCGAGCCAAGGAACGGAGTGGAAAATATTTCTGACTTGAGAAACTCGTCAGATTTGTCAGCGGAACAATCATTCCGAAGCCAGCTTTTCAAGTCGGATCTCGCAAGCACATCCCGGCTACACAATCGATCGATCTCAAACTCCCCGAGGCCCGCCCACTCACTCACTCACTCACTCACCTCTGCATCTCGTGCTGCAGCTGCCGACGACACTGGTCAGAGATTGCTGGCGCAGGTCCAGACCGGACCAGTGGAAAGATGGTAGTGTGCGAATCTAGGAAGCAATTTAGAGCGATGAGAAATCTGGTCCATTGAGGAAGTGGCGCAGAGGAGGCTTTATAGGGCCTGGCCGTCAACACGCACATCAACTTGTACTGTAGGAGGCATGATCCCTCAGACTTCTACGACTGTAGAGCGAAAGCGATCGCGGGCGGCGAGAGGGCTGCTGCATGGCTCGCCACTGTAGGCGATCCGACCTCCATCATATTCCCTCGCTCTTAATTTCCCGGCGCAGTCACTTGAGTTCCTCTCGCGAGCCCGACGTTACGCTCGATTTGCAGCATTAATGGCTGCCTATCGCAGGCCGACACGCTCGCGGAGTCGTGGACAGTGGGCGCATCATCATCCCCGCCCTCCCTCGACTCGGCCCGGCGCGCTGCTGCTGCTGCTGCCATCGACTCACGATCGCCATCGCCATCGCCATCGCCGACCGACGACCGACGACGACGCCGGCGGACGGCCGTCGACTCCGTCGAATCGCATGTCGGCGTGCCGGAACGGGAACGGGGACGGGCCCGCGAACGACGTTGCAACCCCGTCGCGAGTCTTGGTTCTGTCTCGAACTGCGTTCTTCTGAGGTCTTCTTCGACCTTTGCTCGTGACCGTGACCGTGACCGGACCGACTGTGCGGTCAGCCATGCGGTCGTGTTGTGCTACGTAGTTCGTGGTTGGACTCGGTTCGGACCATCCTTCATCGCCGCCCTCGAAGAAGGGCGGGCGGCGCATGATGGCCCGGACCGACCGTCGCGAGATCAGCGATGGCAGATTCGTGCCTTCGCCATGAGCCGCACGAGTGTGCAAGCGAGCGAGCGAGCGACGATCTTCGAGACTGCAATCTAGAATCTACGGATGACGAAAAGCGATTGCAAGCGAGCGATTGTGTAATTCCGCAGAGGCTCGAGTGTTCTGTGGGTCGTGTAGTCAAACAGCGAGCAGAGCGGAGCAGACGACCGAGGTTTCGTGGATGAGAGGGAGCAGGAGATTCAGATGTGGATCAGGATGAGGGATCCGGACGAGCAGCAGCAGGTCCGAAACGTGCTTGTTCAATTGGATACGACTTCCACTGCACTCATGATTAGGCTCGAGTTGATCGATCGTGCCGACTTGCTCTGTTGAATTCTCGGTGACGCCAAGAACATTCGATTACGTTTCTTGCTTTCTTTCTTTCTTTCTTTCGTTCGTTCTTGCGATTTTTCTTGACCTTCGCGAGTGGGAAATGCCCTCGAGATTCTGAGTGAAGTTGCGATCGCCATGTAACCACCGAAATAGAAAGACGGGAAGCAGCTTCTTCAAGACTCCAGGAGAACCATGGTCCTACCTTTCGCCTCGGAATCCCGCGCAGTCAGTTAGTCAGTCAGTCATCCATACATCTCGATCCCTGGTCGGTCTCGAGAACGGAGCTCCAAACGCCGTGCCTCAACACTCCCGCCTCCTGCGCCATGACTTCAGTGCAGATCGATCAGCTGAAACCCGTAGACTTTTCATTTCTTGCTAGAGAGTGAGAGCCCTCCAATCCCTCGCTAAACCAACTTCTCCACAAGACTGCAATCCACTTAAATTGGAAAAGACTTATTACCAAAAGCTGCAGAGAGTGTCTCGTCCATAGATACACGAAGCAGTTTCGACACCGCAATCTTTCGGCATCGTAAGTAAGAAAGGAAGCCGCCGCCGCCGCAGCATCCGGCAGCTTCAGCTCAATTGCAGTTACGACCTCTGTGCAGGCGATTGGTGTAAAACAGGACTTCCAATTCACTTCGGAACAGGTGTAGCTCATCGATTCAGCGTGCCCTCTTCTGACAAGATTCGAGAATATCGTGCAGAGGAGAGGTATCCAATCGACGTCGATCCCCAAATAGACGAGGGGCAGGTCCTGACCGACCGAAGTTGTTACCAGAGTGGGAGACTCCGGGAGACGAACAGAATCTCGTCCTCGTGGGCTTGAAATTCGAGGATTCGAGAATGCAATGTGATTATATAAAACATGGCCTTATCTCCCAGCTTCAGACCTTCTAGCACAATTTACGGGCACTAGCCACAGACGTGAGCTAGGCCGGTGGAATTAGCGTACAATTCGGTGCCATCAACTGACTTCCTCGCCGTGCAACCTCTGACAGTTGACATACCAACGAACCCTCTCTCTCTCTCCTTCTAACGAGAATTGATGGATAGACATTGTTATAATCTGAAACGACGAGTGGACTCCTGAAATAGACTTAAGAATGAAAGCCAAAATATTCAGCAACTTCTATTATCAGCCAGCGACTCGACGAAGTCTGAGGACGATTTCAACGCTTTGACTTGTCCGCATCAGAGGGGCTGACCCGCTGATCACGGTGAGCAAGCTGCTGCACAATTATTGCCCGGGAATAAGATTCTGGATATGACATGAACTACTGGATAGAAGCATAAACGTCATAAATTTGCGGGAGATTTCCGCCACGAATCGACGATGATGTGCTTGACACAACGAGGACTGTAGCGGCCGGATCTGCTGAGAAGCGAAGAGGACCGCGCATTGTAACCGCCGCCATGGATTGGGGCGAGTGAGTCAGTGGAAGGCCACTCAACGGATTCAGGAGGGGCTCGACAAACTCACCGAAACAAGCGGCACCGCAGGAGCCCAGACATGGCATGGCATCCACAGGCTAGATGCTGTTAAAAGTGAGATTTCATATTCATTTCGCATCGTGCTTGCGAGGCTTCGAGCCCGAAAAAGTGATGCTCTTTTGTAGGCAAGTTGGGAATCAGGCACGAGATGTACAGTGCAAATTCCTAACCAAAGCAGCTCCTTCGTGATTAAAGTTGTGCAGGTGCGTTGTCCGGACTGGTTTTAACGCTGACCTGAACGATAACGATATGCTTGAAATGAATCTGTTATTGCAAACTGATGGCATGTTTCATCCTTGGGGTAAAATATTTGCTTAAACTCCAAGTTGTGGTATAACTTCCGAGATCTACATGCAGCACATTGTGGCACATGTTACATATTCTCCTCACCGTTTGTGCTTTCCACCAATAAGTTTTTTTATCTAATTCATTGAAAATCTTGTAAATTTTTAGAAATTTTTTTTTTTGCCCATGGAAGTAATTATTTAGTATACAAAATATATCTAAAAAACTAAAGTTATTCACTATTCACAAAGCTTTCGTGTATACATCACTGCAGCTCTGTGAGCAATATATACTTGAAATCTACACATTTTATTTATTTATTTATTTATGGCATTTGCATTCAGAGGTGAAATTAACCAACAGACATATAATGTCTAGGCTATGCCAAGCGAGTAACTCTCCAGGACCAAACCTCGTGAAAGATCGCGGAGAAACGAAGTCTACTAGGCTCAAAAGGTTGGAAAACTCCAAGACATATGTAACACCTGAGGCATTATTGCTAAAAGGAGATCTAGAAATGAACAGCAGTTGCATCCGATGCTATCGTGGAGAAGAAGCAAATACAAGGACTTTGTAGCGCAGAATCGAAAAATTCAAAGAGGTAGTCCCAGTGAATAACCTTTAATATTCAAAAACAAGTCAGAGAGAAGAAATAAGATCTCCTTGAAGTCATAGCAGTCTCCTCTCCAGTTGAGTAAAATTTCACGCCCCTAAATTCTATCGGGGCCAGTGACACGTGTGATTGGTCCATTGACAACACAATCCACAAGAGGCTATGACTAACACGACGATTCCATTTAGACAATTCCATATTGTCTACTTGTGGAGTTCATCAAACAATAATACGAATCACCAACAGCTCTACAAAACAGGCCAGAAAATCATCCGCCCTGTAGGCATAGCTGAAATTAGAGAATTCATCATCAGATATTTCTCCACCGCCCTGTATGTAAGTATCAATGATTAGGGAAGAGTTTGAAATATTTATGGAATCTAGAGGGCTACAATGTACTTCCTAGGAAGCCCACTTTTCACAAACGTGATCTCTATACGGAACTTTCAGGGACGTTCAATTTTGCTTGGGCTCAGTATTTTTTTCGATAGTGACTTTGTTAGTGTTACATCCTCTTCTTAATTTCTGTCCGTTCAATCGGCAGCCCTTGTATTTGGACTTTAATCTCCTCTAGTCTTTTGTGGACAAAATTTCCATGATCGAGTTACATTCTCTATGTCGGGTTCTAGTGGAGACTACAAGTGATTGTAGGGTGGGACCGGTTGTACTGTACTTTTATTGGATATCAAAAAGGATAAGGAATAATCGAAGTAAAGCGTAAGACGAAGGATACTAAAATGAACTTGGTGATGAACTCTCGTCGATAATTCTTGGGAATAAGCTTCTTATGTCTTTCGTCAAGAGCGAAATCTTGGTGAGGTGGACGGAGCATTACTTCCTTGGCATCCCATCCACACATTATGTTTTCACAAACACAATGATGATAAAGAGTTAAACCTCCCAATAGTGTCACCTCGTATGAATGACATACTCTCATTAGTGACATAAAATTCCAGAACCATTAGTTTCTAACTTATAAATCTACTCAATAAGAACGGTACGTCACTATTTCCAATAGTGACATGATTTTTTTCAATAGTGACAATTTCAAATATAATTTGGGAATAAAAATTCCTATCATGATCACAATACATAGCTATGAGACTAAAAAAATGTGGCATAAGTTTATTTTAAGGTATAGCTGAATAATTCACTCTTTTTGGGCTTTAGTACAATAATTCGTTACATATACTATCATCAATTTTTTCACTCAAATTTTTGTGAATTGATATGAATTCAAACATAATTATAATGTCTATGTTAATCATCGTGAACAATTTTGAAACCAAACAACACATTTAAAGATTGTCCTAGGATTGATATGATGTAAGATAAGAAATCTATGAGTTTTTTTTGAATAATTGACACCTCCCAATATTGACATCTAGCCCCAACACCAATGTATGTTACTATTAAGAGTTAATATTAAAATTATACACCTCCCAACAATGACATCCAATTTTAACACCAATGTATGTTACTATTAGGAGATTATACGCACTTTAATCTTGTGAGTGACACGTCACACTAGTGACATAAAACCCAAGTACCGATATATGTCACTATTGGGAGGTTTAACTCTGTAGACTCCAGACTTCAAGTCCAAAAACGCTAAGCCACACACTTGCTGTGCCTAGCACTTGATACAACTCCCGTATGGCCAAAGGTCTGAAGTTGGATTACCAAATTGTCGAAAAGTTGGAACGTAAACTGCGTCTCCCGATGATTTGGTGAAACCTTCATGGCAGAAAGAGAAGGTATTATATCTACATCTATTCTCGAGTCACGATCTTCGTTGATCGATTTGTTGAACCTGACTGCTAATTCAAGTGTTCCACAGAACGGAAGGTTGCTCGCAATTTGTCATAATAAAGTGGGATTATAATCCTCGTAGGTCTGTAACACGACCTCATATCATCAAAGAATATCAGCTTTCTTTCTTGAATGCAACATTAAAACCTGGTGCTCTGATGGCCTTGAACAACTCCGAACGTAACTCTAGAGAAGTGAGCGACAGGTGCACCATTTGTTCTTTTGGTGCAGTCATTTAGTAGACAATCATGGTATTGATGTGCACTGACCATACACATTTAAGTATTCTTGGGAGACTGAAGGAAAATCCACGAGTACATTGACACTGAATTTGACCTTTACATTCTTATAGAACCTTAAGTCAGAAGTGCTGAAATAGATAGAAATCTTCTAACTTATGTAGCTGTGGTACAACTGGAAGTCGGAGGTCCACATGATTGATTGAAGTATGATCTCGACGATTTTTCACTTCAGCTATTACCGTTTCCTTTTGATGGCAAGAGGAGTGTTGTATGCATGCGTCAGATATGTCTTCATTGGAATTCGAATTCCTCCGAATTACTACTCTTCATTGGGATTAAGAAATTCCGCTTCGTAACTATCATCATCGAAGGATACAACTTCAATTGTTCCTTCCTTAAGGAATTTTTGTTCTTTGGAGTCAAAAAAAGTTTCTGAATTCTTGCTGAACAGCCGGAGGGCTTTCTAGGTAGAAACCTCATGGGCGAACGGAAAATGTCTTCGTTGCTGCAAGGTCTTCTGTGTAAAAGACAACTTTAAGGTACTTGTAAATCATGTTTGTCTTTGGAAGAGAGCACGTCATTATCACTTTTGGAAATCTTGAA